TGTAAAAGGACAGTTATAGTAATAGTAATATAAATTGTGTACTTTTGATTATTTATGTTTGGCAAAAATGAATTGTAAAATTTTGATGATCATGCATGCACTAAAAAAAAATAGCTTTAAGAAGCATTTATGCATTTAACAAGATTTATATTACTAGCCTATTTGGTACAAGTATTTCTTTAAAAAAATTAACAATTGAATTAATTATATACCAACCAAGCCTTTTCATTCACAAATTCTTTTTTTTTTAACAATCCGAGGTATTTATTGTTCATTAATTAGCATTAACGTGATCACCAAAGCCACTTATGATTCCACAAGTTATTGTCCACAAATATTAACTATCTATATACAGAACTGAATATAAGGAACATCAAACCCGAAAGTTTTGAGGGCAAAATTAGATAATAATACGAAAATTTCACATGTGATAATTTAAGACTTCTGATTCTATAATTTTTATTATGTGATTCTGGCTACTTTTTGACCACAATATTTTTTGTAACACACACTATATATATATATATATATATATATATAAAGCAACACATAATAAATAATAATAAAGCTATATAAATAATAATAATAAATCAATCACTTTCTTCTTGATCAAAGGATTCTTTAGCAGCAGTAAATGGTTTACTACTATATAAAATTTCTTCTGCCATTAAAATTCTAAAATTCTTAATCTTTTCCATATCAAATGCTTCCTTGATAACTTTATCATCATTTAGACCAGCTGACAATAATTTAGCAAACATACACACAAACACACCACAAGAATGATCATCTAGCTGAGGTGTCTTTTTGTAAAACTTGTTATTAGCTGTCCATTCTATTCCTGAATTTGATGAAGAACAAGGCGATGGTGGTGGTGGTGATGAATTATCTTTATTATTAATATCATCATTACTAATAATAACATTGCTATTAAAAATAGCATTATCATCATTATTACTAATAATAATATTATCAACATTACTAACAACATTATCATTGTCATCATTATCATTATTGTCACTATTGTTATTATGATTCGAATACCTTTGTCTATATTCATCCTGCATATATTTTATAAGATTATTTCCAACTTTCTTTATATATCCTCTACCCAAAGAATCCCATAGTTCGATCTTTCTTTCTTTGATAATGATAACTGCAAGAATCCAATGTGATGCATTGATGTTTATTGGAACAAATAAAAGTTTTTTTTTAAAAATATCAATCTTCTTGGTCCATCTTATAACACGTGAATATGAATATTCATCACCTTTCATCAACTTCGCATAGAAATATGTTGAGAAAGCATAAACACATTCTCCATATTCCGAATTGAGTATTGTAAAATATGCATTGATATGATCTGACGATAACCATGTAAACTTATCAACAAGATCTTTCATTTGTTTTTGTGTCAGTGAATGTGACCCAACCATAAGTTGTTTTTCATTTTTTTTGTATAGATAATCCACTAAATCTGCACTTATAGTCGGTCCATCTTTGACACGACTAGATCTTTCAGGTGATTGAAATAACGGTGATGATTTTCGTTTTGTTCCTAGTTGACGTCGTAGTGGCCTTGGTGGTTGTTCTTGCTGTTCTGATAATCTTGATGACCATGGTGCTATTAATATTGGTGATGTTGATGGTGTTGATGGTGTTGATGATGGCGATATTGTCGATGGCGATAATGATTTTTTTAATATTTTACCACTATAACTATATGTTTTTTTTATTATTGGTCCTAATGATAATAATAGTAGTAGTAATAATAATGATGATGATGGTTTTTTATATATTGTAAGATAGTATTAGAATTATAATTCTCATAAACAAATTTTTATACAAAGAATTAACTTATATATCATCTTGATCTTTGTACTTGTAGTTTTTGGCATCCAAAAAATCCTTTGAGTACGAAATTTTTATTATTAATATTTTTTTTTGCAAAAAATAAGGAATACATTTATTATATTGATCACAACAATCATTTATTAATTACCCTGGACTTTCTTCAGCATGATCCATTGTATCCACAGCATAAATATCTTCTCGTTTAGTACTATTTTTCTCTCCAAATTTATTGGATTCAAAGTTCATTTTCTTTTACGAAAAGTGAAAAAGAAAAGAAAAAAAGAATAAAATTTTTTTGCTTCTTTTGTTTGATTACGCGTTTGGAAAAATAATGATTGATAATAAAGGCTTTGTGAGACACATACTTGTGTAGCATAATAAACTTTTTGTATATATGTGGAGAGTTTTTATTACATAATTCATTCGTCACATAAGATTTTCTTTTTAAAAAAAATGTCTAGTCAACAACAACAACAAAATGGTCAAAATGAAAATTCTATTAAACCATTTAAGGATTTACTAATGGCTTGTCGAGTTGGCGATCTTGAAAAAGTAAAAAAGTAATTTTCCCATAATAAAGTTATATAATCAAAATTATTTTATTTAAATAAAAACATTAAAATACTACAAAATGTATATATAGTTTAGTAAAAGATCTTTCAGTTCCAATTAATCAAACTGACGAATGGCAATGCTCACCATTATATCTTAGTTGTTTATGGTATCTATCTATTTGTCTTTTTTTATACATGTAATTATATTAATTAATACTAGTTATTTTGTTTTTAATCGAAAATTAAAAAAGTGGGCATTATGAAGGTTTGTTATTTGAAAATTTATTTATTATTATTATTATTATTATTATTATTATTGAAAAATAAAATAGTCAATTTCCTTAAATTGTTTTTCTTTTAAAGTTGTTGCATATTTGTTAAGAAATGGTGCTAGATATGAAAAGGGTACATTGGAAGGTGAAAGGTAAATAAACAAATATTAGGAAAAGTGATAATGGCAGTGATAATGACAATGATAAAATTTTTTTTAGATGTCTTTATGGATCTTTAACAATAAAGATTAGGAGTCTTTTACTAAATTACAAGTTTACAAAAGCAGTTGATGAAAACCAAACATATCTTAAATTTCTATTGAATTTATACGAAAAGCCATTGGAGACATTTAGTGACGTAACATTTAAAATTTCAGAAGTAAAGCATCACGGAATGAATCATTACGATGATGATGATGATGAGAAATTTGTGGAGTTAACTGCGCATAAATTTATTCTTTGTGCTCGAAGTTCTAATTTAAAAAATAAATTTGAAACAATTTGGAAGAATAAAAATATTATAGAAATCAAAGATCCTCACATACATCCAACATGTTTTCAAGGGATTTTAAGATATCTTTATACTGGAGAAATATTTCCCATATCTACAAAATTAATTGATAGAATGTTATTTTTATGTCAGTATGTTGGTTTGACACATTTGAGTGGTTATTTTATGCAAACAGATCCATATAAAAGATCAAATAAGAAAGAATTTAAACAACTTCAAGAAGAAATTAAAACTTATTTCGAGGATAAAATCATGTATTCTAGAAAGATTATTAGTTATGATGGTGATGTTGAATTGATTGATAACGCTGAATTGGTGAAATTAAAAAAATTATCACATGCAGATATTTTTATTAAAGTAGAAAACGTGATATTTCCTTGTCATAGGGCATTTATTTCTACACGGTGCGATTATTTTAAAACAATGTTTACAAGTTGCTTTAGGGAAGGATCGGCCCAACATTACGTCAACGAAGTTGATACAGTCCCACCTATTATTGAACTTCATAGTTTTACACCGGAGGTTTTTTTATTTGTTCTTGAATACATTTACACAGAAAAATGCAATATTTCACCCGAGTTTGCGTACGATGTGCTTCTTGCAGCAGATATGCTCTTTCTCAATAAATTATTGTCAATTGCTTCAACTGCAATAACGAATCAAACACAATTGACAGCGACTGAAATTTATATGTTATATGATAAAGCGATTGATTTACATAATGAAAATTTAGAACAATGGTGTATAACATGGTTTATAGATCATATAGATGAAGTGTTGGACGATCCGATATTTGTACAAATAATTCAAAAATCAGCTCAAGCAATAAAAGGACGACAAGAAACCGATTCGATACCAATAATAGATGATTTGAGATATTCGTTGGAAAAGAAATACGGAGCACGCAGAGAAAATTCTAGAAAAATTTGCTTAAAAGTTAAAAATTCAGAACAAATTATAAAAGAAAAAGAAGATAAATTAGAACATGCTCGTATTTTAGAAAGAATTGACCAAATATTAAAGAACTTAAATTTAAGTGCTTAGAGAATATTAATTTTATTGCATGTATATTTATTTATTTAATTTATTTTGAAGAAATCGTTATATATCCTAAACAAAATAAACCATTCATTATTACAAAAATTTGGCAGAACAGGATTCTGCTATGTCTTTAATTTCCAAGTTTTGTTAGTACCACGATATCGATTGAATTCCATACCTTCGATCTCTAGCCAGTTAATCATAAGGATGGTAATTTTTACAAGTATCCATTTTTTTAAAAATTCCATTGGTCAAAATATCTAATTAATATTTGATTTTTTGGTTAAGATAATAATCAATACATACATATAGGCTTTTACACTGATTAATAATAATGTAAAAATCGGCTCATATAGAAAAACAGAGTAGGAAAACGTCTGGGGCACATAAAAACAAAGAAAAAGTCTTTATAATATAGGATGAGACAGCGGTTCACACGAATTTGTTTTTTTGTTCATAAATAAATTGTTTTCGATTAACGTCTGTATTATTATCTCAAGTTCGAATCAAGTCAGAAATTCATCACTTAGCATTTGTTAAAAATATTATGTTCTTTATAAAAAAAACCCCCCGAAAAATCAACCCTGGCAATTGAGTCGGATTTGATTGCTTATTTGAGAATCTCCAACTGTACAACCTTTGCAAAAGATTAAAGCAATATGATTTTTCATCAGTCAATGTCATACTATATCTATCTATCATCATCTTCCGTAATCAATTTATATTAAAACTAATCACATAATCATTAGGCTATTATAGAGAAGTCATGAAGAGATGGGGGTATATGGCTCCTAAGAGAATTTTAAGGGTAATGGTAATCGCCATTCGAAGGATTTAGAAATACACAATTTTTAGATTTGTGGCTCTTTTCTATGTATGTTCATTTATATAGCAAGAATTCATTTTATGTTTTTTATTTTAAAATAGTAGAGACAATTTGATGGTGAGGGGGGGGGGGGGCAGATACCAATAATTATTAAGAGAGAGAAGGTATTAAGATTACAGTTCATTCTTTCTGTAACAAGCCCCTTGAGAGAAATTTAGTGTTCTCTATAAAGGATCCATTACAAAATAAAATAAATTGCCATCTATTTATTCAGGATGATTTTTTTCATAATTCAAATTCGAATTGGTCATTGAACAGTAAAACTTGATACATATGGGTGGATTTAGTTCATATGTGATTTTGTCACAATATATATACAGCCCCAAAGTTTATTAAGTAAAATAGATATGATTTCCAAGTTAAAAATGTTCTTCGCAACGAGATAAACAAACATAGGAATGTTCCCAATAATAATCTCCAAAACAGCTTCTATTTTATCTTTATAAATTCGATTTTAACGTCAGTTCTAACAGACCTCGGAATAAGATAATCAGAACCTCATCTGTGATTGTTCGATTATATCCCATACGTTCATCCATTTTTCTCAGATAGAATTGTGTCGGAGCATTTTCTCCTTCTCGTTTTCATCATTATAATCATAATCATCGTCGTCATCGTCGTCGTCGTCGTCGTCGTCGTCATCGTCATCATCGTCACCATCATCTACTTTTTCTAAAATTTGCAATTGTTCTTCCTCGACCTCTTTTATCACCTTTTTTGCCATCATCCAAATGTATATCATCACTCCTATACCAATCGCTATACCAATCATCATCATTATCATTTTAAAGCTTCCAATAATATCAATTATCGATGAAGAAGAATATGATGGATGACTAAATGTTGTTGATGATGATGACGACGATGAAGATGTGTCAGCAGTATTATTGGCTGTATTATTATTGTTAATTGAATCATTAGTACTGCTGGTAGTTAAATATCCCATATGAGCAGAAAATGAAGAAATGTTGCTGCCAATCCATGTATGAATCATTAATTTGAAAAGTGAAAGTGCTGTTGCGCTTGTAAATGTTTTCATTGATATGTGTGTTGCTGATAATAATGCATTCAAAACATTATATGGATATGGTGCAATACGTATAAGAAATAACAACTATAAATAAATATATTATTGATATTAAGGATTAATATTCAACTTGTTTATTTAAATAAACATAAACATTCTTTTTTTATTCTCTTTTTATTTTTACCTTAAATCCTTTTTTCTCGACAGCTTTAACAACAGCTCCCATTGATTTATATTTCTTTAATAATCTTCTGACAGATTTTCCGAACCATTTTCTACTGAGCCAAAACACTGTTACAGCTCCAAATAATGCCGCCAAATATGATATTAAAAATCCAATGAAAAATCCATATGTAAATCCTGTCAATGTTATCATTGTGCCATATCCAAGTATTAGTGGAAAGGTTGTTAGAAATATTATAAAAAATATTATAATTACTCCAATAATCCCCATTGATTTTAAAAAATTGGAAAAATGATCTAAAATGTTGATTATTTTCTTTCTAAATATTATAATTGTACATAATGTTATCAAGCTTATAAAAACCCATATTAAAAATGGTAAAAAATCTTTGAATTTTTTCATTAATGAGTTTTTATTATTATTCCTCTTTTGTGATTTTTTGAAAGATGATGAAGATGATGGTGAATTAATTAATGGTAAATTCGATGATGATAACATTGAAGTCGTTGATATGTCATTGTTATTTTCAATAACATCATCAATTACACTTATCGAAGAAATTGAAATATTTTTACGATGTTTTAATAATTGACTATTTTTATTATTTTTACTATTACCCTTACTATTATTAATGCCAATATTAGAAGAAAGTGAGGATGGATGAGGAGATGAGTGAGGATGGAGCGAAGAAGAATTGTTATTATCAATTGTTGGTGATATTGTTATAGAATAATTTCTTATTGGTGATTGTAACCTCTCTGCAACTGAAGTAGAAGTTGCAGTTGATATTGTATTATTATTACTATTACTACTATTATTACTATTAATTAAAGGTATTGTAGCTGTGGTGTTTATTAATGAAGTTGTTGGCTTTTGAACTAATGTAATATCTAATTCTGGAAGTTTTTTATGTGACATTATTATGTTCAAAAAAAAAAAGAAAACTCCTCGCAACAACAATTAAATAAATAATTTTAATATTTATAATATTTACCAATGAACATACAGCATGCATTTCACGAAAAGGGATATAAATAAATAATAAATTTAAATATATATTTATACTTTTCTTTTATTTGTATCGATCGATCATTTTTTATATGGTTGGCTCGGTCTAAAGACCTCCTATTACTGCGCCACACACTCAAATTCAAAAAATTGCGATTTCGTTATTCGTTCAAAATGCAATAAAATTTTTTTAAAAAAGGGTTTCACGTGATTTTGGCTAAAAATTTTTTTCCTTATTGCCAAATTTAGATATGATGGTCGAGTATTAGTCTAAAGTTAGTAACGATGATCAAAAACTAGTCTAAATTTAGCGATGATCCTAGCGCTCAAATTTCTCATGAGCATAGTAAAAGTACATGTTTTAAAAAGAATAGAACTCTACAACAAATAATTTTTTTGAGAAAATCTCTTTATTACATTAAAACTAAATACATAT